CAGAGTTTATAGTTACAGTATATTTATCTATAGAACACTAAGTCTGACAACTTATATACCGACTGAGATAATTCAGAGTTTATAGTTACAGTATATTTATCTATAGAACACTAAGTCTGACAACTTATATACCGACTGAGATAATTCAGAGTTTATAGTTACAGTATATTTATCTATAGAACACTAAGTCTGACAACTTATATACCGACTGAGATAATTCAGAGTTTTTACTTACAGTATATTTTAAGTTGTCAGACTTAGTGTTCTATAGATATATTTAAAATGTTTGCTGCTCAAGGATTATACGCATTTTCAAATGGAAAAGTAAATTAGTACACTTCAGGAGAGCGTTTGTTTGTTTGTAATTAAGCACAAAGCTACGAAATGGGCTATCTGTGCTCTGCCCACCACGGGTATCGAAACCAGGATTCTAGCGTTGTAAGTCTGCAGACATACCGCTGTGCCACTGGGGGCATATAGAAAGGAAAGGAGTAAGTAGAAAATAGCCAACATTTCAAATTTGAATACACCTGCTTTCCAGTTCGCACGTAAAGAGTATTTGAATATACAATTAAATACTGTAAACAATCTTAATAGTAAACGCTGTATCGAAAACCCAAAATAAACATAAAATTTCTGATTAGATTTAACCTAACTCCACGCTGTTTGTAATGAAAAATGATAAGCAGAAAAATTACATTAAATGTTCTATAAGTAATCGTTCACTGATCGCAACAAAGCAACAAACGAATTAAAGCTACTTATAATACACTTTAAAATCCAGAAGAATGCATTTTTATATAACTTTTAGGTTGTTTTGTCAACCCTGCTTAAATACGTGAAACACCACCCTGTTATTCACGTGTACACTGCATGCATGACTCACCCCATAATAGCGTGAACTTAATAAATTCAGCCTTAACGCACGTGACTAGAAAAATACACACCCCTCGTAACTTCTAATCGTCGTGAGGTTGAGTGTCTTTATATGTTCAAGAAGCAAATTCTTTATTATTTTTACTTTTATTTCATATTAAATCTTTCTAGTAAGTATGTTATATGACGGATTAAGCGAAATTCATCTGTAGAAGTAAATAGTTCAGTAAATAAGCTTTGATAAAAATGCCCGTTACCGACTAACGACAAGCAACTAGTTAGCTTACAAATGCCTTTTACTATTACTTTACTTAATGAGACATATCTGTTCACAAAATACTTCATGACCGAAAAGCAGTTACAAGATTATAATTTAGAAGCCATATAAAATCAGTATTGGTATTTTCAACTTAAACGGTACCTTATACGCACATCAGCTAAGCTAACAAATCAGAAGTCCCTAGGTTTTAATAGTCAGTCGATAATTACAACATTATCTTTCATCTATAACCCTCTGGTAGTACGTTAATGATATTGAGGTAAATATTATCTCTATAATGCGGCTATAATTAAGACAGCTATTTCGATTGATTTAAATCAATTATTACATAGATATATTTATTAATTTCATTTTTGCTTTCGCCTCCAGACTTTCTGAATAATATTGATAAGTAGCATAAAATACCCACGTTCCGATGAGGGATTCTAAGGTTCCCTCATGATTTACAAAGGCCTCAATGTACCAGTCAAGTGTCTCCATTATCTTAATTACTTCGATCTATAGATACCCCAATGCGCCAATTCTTTAACTGATTTGTCTGTTGCCATTATTCCCGAACTTAATTCAATTCAACTCTTTTTAAAAGCAAATAGTTTTAATTTGGCTTCTCGGATTTTTTTCCTGTGTTTTTATTTGAATTATTTTCGTTCTCCGAATTCTCCAGTATTCTCTGATTCATATTTTTTCCCGTTGTTTGTTGTCGTTTCCCAAACTTAGTTCATTTCAACTTTTTTTTCATTGTCCGATATGTACTTTTCTTTCCATGTTTCTGTTGAAAATTGAGAATTTGGCAGAAAACCTCCACATGTTCTTCATTCAGTAAGTTAGAATTAGAAAAAAATATGATACTTTTCTATAGATCTTCAGGAAGCAGAATTATGGAGTTTAAGGACTATAGGGAAAAAAATGGCCAATTTTTTAAAGTCAAGTCTAAAAAAATAATAAACAGGTGCACACTCTCAGAATCCCCTTAGTGTGCCTGCAAAGGTTTCAGGTCTCTAGGATCTTTCCTCTTGGAGCTATGGCAGTCACACAAACACACACACACACACACACACAGGCTCTTTTATTATTACATATATATCCACTATGTATTCTTTATGGTGTGAAATAAAATTTTGATATGTCAGTTAACTGAAAAAGAATCTGCATACTTGTTTAATGTATTTATTTTTGTACCCTCCAACAGCAACAAAAGCCATATGTAAACTTTAGTTTAGTTTTATAACGTGTTTATGACGAAGGGTCATAATTGCCCAAAAGTAAAAACCATTCTGAGGAGCGACTTTATCAAAGATATATATATATATATACATAAGAGAGACATATAAACTTTCAATGTAGTCCGTTTATAGAGTATATATGTATATATAAGAGAGACATGTAAACTTTTTAATCTAAATAATGTAGTCCATTTTATAGAGTTCCTAGCATTAAATATTGTCGTTGTTTAAAGTTACATTCATAAAAAGTTCAACATAAATCAGAAATATCTTATCGCTTCAACACTCAAGTTTCACTAAACAAAATTATTCATGATAACAGCAAGAACAAAAAAGAGAGTGAAAGAGAAATCCACACGAACTTCTAACCAGTAAAATATTTACGTTGCCTAACACTTGGGTTCAAAATTACTAATTTTTTCACTACGCCAACTCCAAACTCAAACAAAATTTGGAAAACAACGTACACACATCCTTGGTGTATATTTTGCCCCCCACCCCCAGTGCCTCAGCGGAAAGTTTATGGATTTCTAATGCTAAAACTCGGGGTTTGTTACTCGCACTAAGTACAACGTATGTAGCCCATTGTGTAATTTTACGCTTTAGCACAAACAAACAATTTATGTTAGAAGTACAATAGCTTGAGTAGAGTCATGGTTGCAACAGAGCGAAACACGTAACTTGCAAAAACTAAACTCAATAGCTTCCCCTTACGTGATTGCGTGTTTTCTTGTTTTTACTGATAAATTGTAGTGATATTACATTATAATTAACACTGTATTCAAAATTTAATCGAACAATAAGTAGTATTATCTTATATACGTGTCATTAATAAAATTGGTTTTATAACTGATGTTGTCACTATAACACATTATTATATATTTTGACCCACATGTCAAGCGTAAAAATTCGCTAAGAAAATTGTCAAGGTGATTAAAAGATTTTCTGAAGCACATATTCGGGATTATTATGCATTTTAAACATACATTCACATGTATATATATATATATATATATATGTGTGTGATTTTATCAAAACAAAAAATTAACATTTTGTGTTTCATAAAAGAAACAGGTATATGTGATGGATTGTTAACGACCTAGTCCATAGTTAATGAGTCAGCCTAAAGTATTCTGAAAGCATGCGTGCGAAATATTTTGTGACAAAGGATATTTAATCAGATAACTATGTATTTTTCATTAGATCACCATATTGTCCGCTTTAATAGCTGTTCTATGTATTTCATTCTGAATCGAACGTACTACAGCGATTAGCGTGCGGGACTATGGATATATGCGGCGCCAAAGTCTACGTTTCGTTATTCAAATTTTACAAACATGGGTGCGTTATAATGGTGACGGTCAAATCCTACTTTTGTGGTCTGACAAGGGTATCCCAAGAGATGGCGGTGGGTATTGTTGACTAGCTGTCTTCCTTTTAATCTATCAGTTCAAAATTAGGGAAAACTAGCGCAAATAGCCCTTGAGTAACATTGAGGGAGTATACAAAAATAAAGTTTCTGTGTGTATATATATATATATATATGCTCTCCTAAGAATGATCTGATTTAGTTTTATGCAAATATCAACCAGGAAACCCAGCATATATCTGCTAATGTATTTGAAGTGATTCGAAATGTGTCTTTTTCGCACGTAAACATAAATGCAAGAAAGGTTTGTTACAAGCTAACTGTTAATACAAGGAAGAAAAACAATATTTACAGCTTTCTGTGTAAAACCAAATATTTATTCAGATTAGTAGCAAAATTTAAATATAAACAACATAACTATTCAGATTAGTAGCTGGATTTAAATATAAACAATATAACTATTTAGATTAGTAGCAGGATTTAAATATAAACAATATAAATATTGTTTATATTTATATTTAAATCCAACTACTAATCTGAATACAAACAATATAAATATTTAGATTAGTAGCAGGATTTCAATATAAACAACGTAGCTATTCAGATTAGTAACAGGAGTTAAATATAAGCACCATAACTATTCAGATTAGTAGCAGGATTTAAATATAAACTCATCAAGTTTAAATGATAATTCTTATCATTAACAAGTTTAAGCACATTTACAGGTTTTTTTGTTTCTTTGTTGTTAAGCGCAAAGCTACACAATGGGCTATCTGTGCTCTGCCCTCCAGGGGTACCTAAAGCCGATTTTTAGCGTTATAAGCCCTCTGATTTTCCGCTGAGCCACCAGGGGGAGAGATCATTTAGAGCTTTAGTCGCCTTACTTATACTTATTTCTCGTCAAAATCTTATATAAACGAAAATCTGCATATTCACCCATCTTTTCCTCATAATTAGGTTTTTGTTCCATGACCCACATATCCTCACTCTCTCTACTTCTAAACACATGGACCATTAAGAAAAATACAATTGTTCTTAGCTCTTGTCACGAGTAAACACCCACATATTAAGTACAGCGTAAAAGCTGGGAGTGGGAACATACATACACAAGAACCGTGACTGTCATCAGTCTCGCTTTCTGGAAAGAACCCAATTTACAACACGTGATGTCCTGATAACACGTAAAATACCTGGGAAATTCTGACGTAGCCAATCCATGCATAAACCGTCTTAACACAATCTCCGAATTAAACCAGGCAACACATGCATCCTTTCTAAAGAATGTAGATAAAATGTGCTAAGTAGGAGAGGTCACTCGAGGTCAGTAAATACTGGGGATATCTTCAACTGTGAGCAGTACAATGAGAAACCTTATATAAACCTCAGTTAATTCACAATTATGGGGCGTATTTTTAAGTTTCCATCTAAACATGAGGGATGAAGGCAAGTAGAATGTATTCTTAAAGATAAAATCATTCTCACCGCATGCTATAGCAAACAACCACAATATATCAGGCTATTATTTTTAAAGTTCAAATAATGAGTATTCTCTGATGACACTTTTCTACTATTTTTATTCAGATAAGAAACAGACCTTTGTAGTTGAAGGTGTACATTTAGACATTCTCATTTGTAAATATCTCATGCTTGAAACAAGGTCCAGTAATCTATTAGGAGCCAGTTTTTTTCTTTAAATAAACAAAAAGACATCGATTGAAGAGCAGAAAATGTAACGATACGAGTTCTTTCTTCTTATATAAGGAGATTTTCGAAACGCTTGAAAGTTAAAATGTTATTTCTTAACTCAAATTTAAGTTGGATTATCGAATATATACTTTATTTGTTGATTATCATTGTTGTTTAGATTGCATCTCTATCCAATAACTTAGACAATAATCTTATTTACAAGCCTGATGATGACAAAACCTTGTCGAAACGTTGTACATTTACTGTTATGTTAAACTTATATTAAAGTTTTTCTTCATTATCCATTCAAGCCGTCTCCAACCATTATTAGTCTCAAAGTGAATTCCTCGTCATCGAACATAACAATATTTAATATGGAACTACTATCATCGCAGTATATAGTCTGTACAGTTTCACGGTAACAGGCATTCATTTAAGATTTTTGTATAAACTAAACACGTCGGGAATATGCTATGTTAATATTTCTATACCATATCTTTAAAATTGTAGACTTATTAAGATATTTCTCAGTAAAACATAAAGAAAAATATTTATTTAGCAATGTATTTTCGTAAATAAGAAGAACAAATATGCTTAACAAAAAAAGCTTATAATAAAGAACTACTCATACATAATTTTTCAACAAATTTCTGTTCATTGTGTTTTTATGTCCTTTATTACAAGAATTAATGTATGTTAACGTGTAGAGGATTCAGACCTATCCGAGTCGATGAATTAGGTGTTGCGAAGAATTTCCGAAACCTTTACAGAAATAAATACTAATTTTAAACACAAGATATATTCCTTAAACACGTTCATGTTAGAGAAAACACGTAAGCTCTTCATTTAGCTCACATGTGTGAAATCTATAACAGAAGAACTTTCTGAATAAGCTTCAGCTTCTCTTGGGCAACTGACAGTAAATCCCATAACCAAGAACACTTCTTCAGCGAAACTTCATTTTACCAACTGAACATGTGAAACATTTTTTTGGTATAGAATTTATTTTAGGCTGCCCAAAAAAAGCCGGAGTTTGTTTCAGAAGTGTATGCAAATACTTGAGTTCCTTCTTTATACTGAGACACAAGAATCATTTCTAAGAAGTTTGATATTTTCAAGGTAACTAAAGAGACAGTCTTCTAAAAAGATTTTGTCATTATTTTATTAACATTAAATTACTTTCATCTGGAGAAGATAATTGTCTACAAGACCATATTTCTGCTTCGTTGAATATGAAGCTTATTCCTAATATTGTAAAATAACATTACTTTCTAAACTGTAAAATTCGACTTGTCGCCTGCTAACATGAAAGGATAGATTATTCTAAGACTATGAAAATTGACATTATTTTTTAAGCTGCAATAACCATTCGGTTGCCAAGTTAAGCTAGAAGATTATTTCTAAAGCTGTAAAGAGGCATTAATTTTTAACCTGAAAATCATGTGTCTATCCGAACTGAATGTTATTTCTTATACCGTTTAGCTCGTCCTTTGTCTGTAAACAGTATACCTACCTGAACCTGGAGATTAATTACAAGGCTAGTGAGATACTATGTAGCCGCTACCTACCTGAACCTGGAGACTGATGATAGAGCTAGTCAGATACTATGCAATCGATACCTATCTGAACCTGGAGACTGATGATAGAGCTAGTCAGATACTATGCAATCGATACCTATCTGAACCTGGAGACTGATGATAGGGCTAGTCAGATACTATGCAATCGATACCTATCTGAACCTGGAGACTGATGATAGGGCTAGTCAGATACTATGCAATCGATACCTATCTGAACCTGGAGACTGATGATAGGGCTATTGAGATACTATGCAGCCGCTACCTACTTGAATCTGGAGATTGATGACAGGGCTATTGAGATACTATGCAGCCGCTACCTACTTGAATCTGGAGATTGATGACAGGGCTAATGAGATTTTCTAGATCAATTTCTTTGACCAGGAAGAGTTCTCCAGTTTGTTCGTGAATATAAAATAGTTCTTCATCGTTCCCTATCGCACAAAAAAACAACAACAAACAAACTGGAAATAACATAGTATTTGTTGTATAACAAACATAAATAATAACATAGTATTTGTTGTATAACAAACATAAATAATAACATAGTATTTATTGTAAAATTAACATAAATAATAACATAGAATTTGTTGTATAACAAACATAAATAATAACATAGTATTTGTTGTATAACAAACATAAATAATAACATAGTATTTGTTGTATAACAAACATAAATAATAACATAGTATTTGTTGTATAACAAACATAAATAATAACATAGTATTTGTTGTATAACAAACATAAATAATAACATAGTATTTGTTGTATAACAAACATAAATAATTTGCTTTAAAATCTTATATTGAATAAGCTTAATTTGATTATTTTTTTCGTTTTCATAATTGAGGATGAGCTTGAGTTTATTCGTGTACTTATTATATTGAAATTTCTAACATTTAGATTTACAGTTAGAGTTTCGGTAGTTAAATCTAATTGGGCAAATATCGTTGTAATTTGTTTATACGTCTTTTTGTTAAATAATGTTTTTTCAAGATGTTAACATTTTGGATAACATTAACTACCTTAATAGATCTATCGATATAAATCTGTATCTATTGTATGTCTTTGTACCTAATTCGTATGGTTTAGATGGATCTTTACTGATATAGATATGGAGGTTTATTAGATCCATGCGAGGTACATACAAATTTTCAGTTTTGCATTTTGCGTTTTTTACCACAACCTCACCTCCTGTCGATGGATCTTCACCAAATTTCGTATGAAGGATTGCTGGGTCCATGCGAAGATACGTGAAAATTTGTTATTTCATATTTTGTGTTTTTCAGTTATTATTGTCGTTTTTGACAATTACATATAAGGGAAGCAGCATTTCATATTCTAAGGTAACATTTCATTAATCATGAACTTACATAACTTCCGTCAGGGGACGGGTACTCTGAGCTAGTACGGTAATATGTACGTCATTTAGTTAGTACTCTCGTTGGGCCGTGTCTCCGTTAATATTATTGGAGAGAGGAAGGATAAATATATTTCTATTTCTTATGCAGTCGTCAAATTATATCAACATTTAGTGTCTAAAAACGTACATCAAAATTGATCACGATATACTGATGCCTTTTTTATTTCAGTAAACAGGCCTATTTCAGATATTGCAGTGTCAGATATATATATATATCACCAATTATCTTTAAAAAGGCTTGTTTGCACTTATGAGCTAACTTCCTTCACGTAACTTACATGTTTACAGAAGAATAGAGAAATAAACACTGTGTCTAATAGGGAATATTCCATTGTATGCTATTTATTTTTTATAAAATTGATCACTGATGGGGAATACCTGAGATGTAAGGTATTAAGCTCAAAGTTCAACCTGAATATAAAATATAATAATTTAAACTCTAACTAATATGCAAGAAAAAACATTTCATTTTTGTAAAAATATCTTTACAGACATCGTCTGCACGAACAGTGAGAACAAAAGTTAACAAAGATCGGGTTTTAATGAAACAATAAACCTCAGCATAAATTTGATTTCTGCGTTTTTGTTTTCTTTTCCAAAACAGAATAAATCTAAATGTAATATCTTAGCGTAACTCATTAAATTCTAAGATTAAGGACTTCAGAATATGAAAAATTAATGTTCGTAATAGTTCTATTTTTCTCAGTAGGAAAATTCACTGTAAAAGTAACCTGCGTCGTTAATAGATCTGAATTATAAAGTTGGATTTATCTCAACCGGTGTATACATTGCCAGGTTTAACGTTTTGCAGATAAATATACTGCAACTATAAACTCTGAATTATCTCAGTCGGTATACAAGTTGTCAGACTTAGTGTTCTATAGATAATTATACTGCAACTATAAACTCTGAATTATCTCAGTCGGTATATGGATCACTTACTATATAACCTTTGACTTTAGACATTGTGGATACTCTGTCCTTACTCGTGTTATAAAGCTATTTACTAACTTTATCTATTGATTTATTTCAAACTTTAGAAGACTAAACATTATATATATATAGATACTTCTACACTTACGTAAAAGGAAACGACTAAGAAATACTAAACTATATAACTCACTGAGTTGGGGAAGACTCGATCTTGCAAACATTTAACCCTAGTAACATAAAGTTTGTTTGTTTTTTGAATTTCGCGCAAAGCTACACGAGGGCTATCTGCACTAGCCGTCCCTAATTTAGCAGTGTAAGACCAAAGGGAAGGCAGCTAGTCATCACCACCCACCACCAACTCTTAGGCTACTCTTTTACCAACGAATAGTGGGATTGACCGTCACATTATAACGCCCCCACGGCTGAAAGGGCGAGCATGTTTGGTGTGACGGGGATTCGAACCCGCGACCCTCAGATTGCGAGTCGAGCGCCTTAACCACCTGGCCATGCCGGGCCAGTAACGTAAAGAGTAAGTTAAGTTATCTCGTCCTCAAGAATGTTACCTGACAAACAATTTACTAAATTTAACTTAGCAGTAAAAGCAATTTTATTAGTGCCATAAAGAATACATTTTATTGGAGAATTTACTCGCTTAACCTTTTGATTACCAACATAATTACATTAGATGCCCACAGTATTTACATTAGGTCACCTTTCAACTAATATGGGTACATACTTATTCTGCTTTATAATAAGTAATTAGAAATTAATCATTGGATCATTTTCTTTAACTATCATAAATATATTACTTGCAACAATCAAGAAAGTAAAACTAAATCATGTTGATCACCTACGTCCTTTTGATGAGTCGATAACACAGAGGTTTGGGTAAGGTATACTAAAACGATTTTGAGTATGTAAATCAGCAAGTCACGTTAAAACCATAGCCATTATAATGCTTCGGTAGAACAGAATGTATTAGAACTACATTTTTAATTTGTTTGACCTTTCTTATATAGTGTGATACCATCAAAAACCGATCACTTTGGGAAGAGTATATAACAGACTAATCTGATGCAAAATATTCATTCACTCAGAGCATAAATATCTGTTAATATCGGGGAACTAGAATTTCCAAACGAGAATATTCATTGTTCTTAATGGCATTAAAAACTAAAAAATATGGATCTACTTGGGCTACCTGTAGCAACCTGAAAGACACCTGCAACAAGATGTTCAACAGCCGTGGTAAGCAAAGTGCGGCGTCTTGTTACAGGTGATAATCCATGAACACAAAGATCAGTGACACAAGCGATCTACGAGCCCCAGCCAACAATATTCGGTATAATCCAGAAGGATCTTCTTCTGGAAACGAAGCCAACAGGGTAGAATTCACGAAGATAAGGCTTCCAGTCATACATCCCGTTTACCTGTCACATACATTAAGCAGCTGGTGAATAAAATAAACATCCATGTATTCCATAAGTAGAAATGCCAGTCAAGTCGTTGGATCCAGTACTTTTGAATTTCGGTGTAAGTGTCGTCCTTGTTCTCTAGATGGATTATGGAAAGCATTAGGGAGAGGTGGTTTGCTTTGGACATGATAGATTTACGATGGAGCCTTTTGCAATGGAAACTACGCCTCAGGGCTATTGTCAATATGCACAGTCGTCAGATAGAGCATGGCCAAACGTGGCGACATGGATTATAAGAACGTGGTGAGGTTATAAAATTATTTAAATATAACGTATTCAACCTCTGTAGAAAGGTTAAGTATAAACTTGCATTTATGTTTCTAAACGTTTTAGAAGTAACCATTGAATATCGCAGTCTCTGATGCTAAATACAGATACAAAACAGAAAGAAATTACGTACCAAATACTGTTTCGCTCTCATCGTTTAGACACCTGACGCACATTAACTTATACAAGATAGCATAAAGTCTGGGACCAAAAGTAGGATAAAATATAATAACTAAAAATAAACTCTGCACTAAGTTAAACAGCAATTTTACAGGAATTATTTTAACTAAGAGTTTGTATCTCATTTTATTACTTTATAGTTGTGTTTTTAAAAACATGTACAGAACTTATATAAAGGACTCTGCCTCGAAGGTGGTGGTTTGTTTTATCTTACATGCTTGATTGCTAGAGAGCATTGGTTTCCATTCGTTCGTAAAAATAACATTTTTAGGAAAACTGTACTGCCTATCGATAGATGGCGCATCCTGCCCTTATACCTTGTGAGGCAGAAAAAAAATATATATTCGATGTGTGTAAATATTTTACGATCCATTTCTCTCTCAATTATATCATTAAGGTAAAGTAACAAACAAGTAAAGCGTTATTTTTATTCACTGGCGAAAATTCCGAAAAACTACAAAGGAAAAGTGAGGGCATTTATCTTTTTATTTGTCATAGAAAGTAGAGTAGTCAAAAACAAGTTTATCATTACGGACAGAAAAGAACTGAGAGAGAAAGAACGTAGCATAATAAATGCAATTTTTTAAAATCTTAATTGACAAATCACTTAACAGAATATTAATTCATCAAAACAAAAACCTTCTGAAAATTATTAGATATATTTTTTCTTGTTATTTCAGAAAGTTTACCGAGAAAGTCATTAGTGTGAAAATGATCAAGAAGTGCTGATGTGACAATTATATCTTGTATGTTAAGATTATGACAATGACCAAGAATTGTTAATTTGAGTGTTATTACTTTCATTGTTAGGTGCATGACGATGACCACGAATTGTTAATTTGAGTGTTAAAGCCTCCATGATTAATGTGTGTGACAGTGACCAAGCATTGTTAGTGTGGGTCTTGTAACTTCCAAGATTGGATTTATGACAATCGTCAAGAGATGCTGGTGTTGGTGTTATTAACTTTCATTATTATGTGTATTAAAATGATCAAGAGAATTGTAGCTTCCATGATTAGGTGTATGACAATGACCAAGCTTTGTGGGTGCTATAGCTTCAATGGTTAGGTGTAAGAAAATATTCAAGAATTGTTCGTGTGGATATTTTAACTTCCATGATTATTGGTATGACAATAAGAAATAATTGTTAGAATGT